TATCTTCTGACATCAAATAATTGCAGTTATTTTAATTTTTAGAGAATTAATAAACCAATTATTGTTTGTGGTTGCATTAGTGTTGCTATACACACCACAAGAAATGGTGGACAATATTTATTCATATAATGATAAAGTTATTCTAAACTGACTAGCCTCTAACTCATGCAGCATTATGCAATAGAAGCTATTCAGTATTCTGCGCCTTCTTGAAATATAGCCGTGCCTTTGCATCAAAGCAAGATGACCATCGTGATAGAAACCTGTGAATAACTATTATCTGTAAGTGTGAAAGAAGGTTTCTATCATTGCACGCTCAACATTCATCTAGCTTCGATGCAAAGGCATGTTACTTTTCAAGATGGCGCAGGGAGCTGTGAATGAGACTATTGGTCTGCTATTTTTTCAAATCGATCTACAAAGACCATTGTTTTAATACAAAAATCTTTGGCACACTACACAGGAATGACCCAGTCCCCTATCAGCATGTGTCACAATCAAAGTTTAACACTCTGATATATGTTGGAAACCACATGAGTGTTTTATCTGATGAAATTACCTCATCTAACAATTGTATTTGCTTTGCAGGGAAAGATAGTGGAGTGTGTGATATGTGGTTGCAGAGGATGCTCTGGATAGTGCAAGTTTAGACTACAACATGCAAAGACTGATGTACAAAGATTTCTTTGATAGACAAACAGCGGTTCTTTTTATTTGGAAATATGTACACAATGCCTTGTACTCTGTTATTGAGAGTTAATGCCTTGCAGTCGATCAAACCATGTATATAACATATCCATCTATATTGTACCAAAATGTAAAAATAATGTTTTGTTTTCTGAGGCCTACTTCATTAGTTTTGCTTGAAAATGAATGCTTTTGTCATTGTATTGGATCCATTGTATTTTTGGCTCTTGTTGTTAAATCAACAAATTTGTAAACATAAGTTTTTACTAACATTTCCACACAACTGAGGCACTGAAGGAGGTCCACAATAGGGCCAAATGTTTGAAAAAACTGATGTTTTAAAAAAACTAATGTTTAAAAAATCAAAGTCAAAAATTAAAATATGGCTGATCATCTTGGTTGCATCTTTAGATGTGAAATCTTTTGTGCTCTCACATAATTATTCCTTTCCTGACGTTAAAGATTTAATTCTATTAAAGTGTCTTCTTGAATTCTCCTATTCTCTTCAAAAAGATTGAGAAAACCCTGGGGGTACTCAAAACTCTGATCCTGTTCCAGAGTGAAATCGCTGAAAACTATACCCTGTTCCAGAGGAAATCTTGCACTAGCTTGCTTGTAGACCGAATTTTTACCCTGTAAATTTTTACCCAGCATCGAAATAATTCTGGAATTAAACCCTGACCCTGTTTCCAGAGAAAATTTGTTGAAATCGATACCCTGTTCCAGAGTAAAATCACTAAAAACAATACCCTGGTTGGTGGCACGTCCCCGTATAGCGAATATAGGGGAGTACCCCCTAGGAACTTTTTTGTCTACTTTACACTCATGTATGGCCCTCATGTATGGTTTCCTGCATTACAAGGTAGAACAGAAATGTATTGTAGTTAGATGAAGGGTGAAGTCATGGTAGTTGAAGACTAAGGGGCAATCGGACAGGCTTTATATCTGACTTTATGACATGCTTAACTAGAAAGCACATTGTGCCGTAGTCTTCTCTCTTTTTGGTTTTCAACCTTTTTTGGGAATGATAAATAGGACCATTTGACAATGATTCAAAACAACAAAATTAAAAATAACATTATTTTATTTGTCTAAAAGACATTAAGAAATAATTGTTACATGCACAAAAAAAAAAAACATTGTATTATTTACTGTACAATACATCACAACACATGCAAACATTTACATAAATTATTGTGCCAGCAAAGGAATCCCACATATGCAAGTTATTTCTTATTGTAGAATGGACTGCCACCACGAAAATGTTATAAAAACAAATTATCTATGAATAATTGATTTGAATGCCCTATTGACCATAGATATACTCAAATAACCCCTCTTCTTGTAGAGAGTTCTTGCTGACCCATAATATATTATATCCCTTGAGATATGCCAAATTAGCTCAGCTGCTGACTTAAAACCCTAAAAAGCATGAAGCAGTGGAATCTATGTAATTTCTGACCCCAAAACAGTGCCACCCTTAAAAGCATCCAAGGGTCATGTTTTTGACCCTAAAATATCAGTCAAGCACCCATCCCCATTGGTTAGAAATATTCACCTTGAAACTTACTTTGAAAAGTTTCAAGTTTTTACCATAACTAAAGTACATATATATTTGGTTAGTTTTGTACCAAGTTGAGTTCATATCGCTGATAGCAAAAAAAATGTGCTAAATTAATGATTTTATTTTGTTGTTTAATCAACACTATTTAGTAAAAACTATTGTACTACTTATTTCATGGATTGTTTACTCTATCTAAGAGCCATCGTCAAATAATGGACAAGACAATGCTCCACAGCCAGTGTGCGCTTGATACTTGGTTTTGCTTTCAAATTTCAGTCATTTTGGGCCTGGCAATGTTTGTTTCTTTTTATTGGAATACAAAGTGACATCTAATTTGATGGCCTATGGTCTTATCAAGAACTGATTCACATCAAACTGTCTAGTATTGTCTTCAAGTGTATCCAAATATACAGTTCAGTAGACCTTGAATATGATTTAATAATCATCATAATTTTAAGATAAAAGCATTGAGCATTGAGCGTACCAAGCTCATAGCCTTGAAAGATAAAAATAAATTACATAGTACGTAAGTCTGCCTATATTTCATCTTTATGTGACATTCTCTATCAAGCAAGAAATCACTGTGACAGCTTTCTTGATGTTAGTATTTAATTATTGTCACAATTTGTTGATGAAATATGATAGAAGTAAATATTTACACCAGTTAAACAGAGCACAAAGTAGGAAAGCCACCAACATTCAGCAGCAATCAGGATGACAATAATTATTACGGTAATAATAAAAGCATATCACACACCATGAACCAAACAGTTCTTGAATGAACAAATGTGCAAAAACAACTGAAGCCATGGCTCTGTTGTGATAAAGTGATCCCTATACACTGTAAAAAGAGAAAATACATACAACGCTACAAGAATGCAACACTTGCACTACTTGCTACATTATACAAAGATAGATAGAAAAAAAATACAAGCATAACTTAGTTGAGTGATTGCACTTAAACCGTGCAACTGTACAAAATCTAAGTACTACTAATTTGTACTATAAGTGGACCTGAATCAAGACACTAATTTGTACTATAAGTGGGCTTGAATCAAGACGGTATTGAATGCTTCATTTGTATCAATTCAATAGCCGACTTGCGAATTACGCATCAATAGTCACATACAAAGGAATCAAGACGAGGCGCCGTGCTAAAGACAATAGATTTTTCACAAAAAAGCACGGCGCCTCGTCTTGATTCCTTTGTATGTAACTATTGATGCGTAATTCGCAAGTCGGCTATTTAATTTGCGTACTACATGCACGATTTACTAAACACAACTAAATAGCATTTAGTTTGTACAGTTCTATGGTTTAAGTGTGATCACTCTAGTATTGATATTGCACACTCTTAGTGTTTGTTTTATATAATAATTACTTTTATATTAAATGCAAGTGTAAACTTATTTTTTTTTTCTTTTTCTACAATATATAATTCATCACTTTACCACCAGTTTTACCAGAAACACTCATGCAGTCATCTTTACATTATTTAAATCACCTCTTCTCAAGCCACAAATAGTTCAATTTTCTTTCTTAATTCTTGCAGTTAAGAAGGAAATTAGCTTCAACCTTTGTTATGAGAAGCTATGAATCCTATGGCAATATGGCTGCTGATGGGCTCTGAAGGGGCCCCAAAAAGCTATGCATTTTGAAAGTTTCACTCCAAACATCCATTATTTGTAAAGTTATTCATAAGATTATAAAAGGGAGTTTCTCATACTCACAAATTTAGCTATTTGACCTCAAACTCATACTCCTTATTGAATTTAATACTGTTATTATTGTATACACTAATGTAAAAGCCATATTTGCAGTCAGTCTATTCAAGGCTTTGGCTGGTCAAACTTGAAGCCCGCTTCGCCTACCTATCCRTCATGATTGTTTGCCCTGTAATGAAGGAGCAGCTTCGATTGATTTTGCACACAGTTCACTTGCCCAGTCAAGGTTATCATTGTCAAAAACAAGTTTAGCCTCCAAGTGGAAGTTGTTGTTTTGTTAAACATTGTAATCTTTGTTGTTGTTACTGTATTTTATGTTAGTTTGTTTTCAATGAGTTTGTCTACAAAGTATGGAAATTATCTGCTTAACATTCTTGTGTCTTTGAAGTCCTTGAGAAGGCTCAGAYYCRCATTTTAAGRGCTTGTTTGGGAACTGTCTCGCTTTCCTCCTTTACTTGTAGTCAAACAGCAGAGCTATCCTGTATACAAATACAATTACATTATTCAATAATAAAGTTTTATGATTTGCATTGTATATGAGACACTTTTCAATATAATTTTTTACTATGATAGTTATCTAATCATATTGTAAACAAACCAGAGGAAAATGAATCCACCTTCTAAAGAAATCATTTGTAACTTTGCTTATATAAGTATTACTTATTGTGAATGCTGTCTAGRCTACAGCAAYTTAYGCARMCKTGGCTTAGTTCAGCACRGATAAGGAGTTCCACTATGCAAAAGTAATATTAAATTCTAGCATCAAAATAATAAACACTAAAACAATGTATAAGGAAAGTGGTCTAGCATTCACTGAAAATGTTTTTCTTTTCTTTCTTTCTTTCTACTCCAAGACCATCAACATGCAGACCATAATATTTTCTATCATTTTGTATGTTAATGTAATATAATCATACATCAAACAAGTAATACTTACGATTATTCCCCCGTCATCACATAAATGGGTTATTAGTATTATTTGCCTGTGTTCCCGATGAACTGTTAGGTAACAGTGGTGCTGGTAATAATATATTATCGCCTCCGAATGTTGCACCACCTCCACCACTTGCCATAGGAGGAGCCATATTTTGCTGTCGCAGCTGATTTAATGTTGGTTGTTGCGGTCTATCTGCCAAAAATGGGTTATTTGTTTTGCTCTGTTCAGTTTGTGCAACAAAGGGGTTGGGAGTTGGATTTGGTTTTGATGCAAGTAGATCCAGGTCTACTAGGTTCTTGGGCAACTCGCCACCCAAGAAATCATCTGGTTTCTTTTCTTGATTTGTCGGTAGACTTGTTGTAACGCCGGTCATACTAAATGGGTCATTGGCAGTAGTGCTATAGCTACTACTCTGAGCATCAATKGGTACCGGYTGACTAAAAGGATCGAATCCAGCGCTTACAGACTGACCATTAGTGGATGACCATGGGTTTTGTGCCTGAGGTTGAGGYTGCGGTTGGGTKGGKGCACCCCATGGGTCTGCTGGAGGAGGTGGTTGCGATGGTGCACCCCACGGATCAGAAGGGGCAGATGATACAAATGCAGCTGAAGATACTTGGGTTGTAGTACTAGAGCCACCCCAAGGATCAGCAGATGGCACTGGTGGGGTTTCCCATAGGTTAGAAGATTGTTGTGATACTGGTGCACTACTGGATCCCCACGGATCACTTACTTGCATAGGCTGTGGTGTTCCCCAGGGATCTGCAGTTGGACCTCCAGCAGCAACCATTGCAGGACTGCTATCGAACAACGATGTACTTGTGTCTGATTTACTTTGTGAAATGGCCATTTTAAGTCTCTCATTATCGCTTTCATCCAAATGCTTATGTTCATCAGCTTCTTGTTTACTTAACGCCAAAGCGAGCTGTAACTGTAATTCCTCTTCGTTGGCATTTGCAGGTCTGCAATTTTCAAGGTCACTTGTCGTGTTTTTTCTCTCTGGTTCCCATGAACGACTTGTAGGAAGCGAAGAATCGGGTAAAGCAGTCTGGCGAATGTCGCTTAAACTTCCTCCCGACTCGTTCTTCAACCTTCCACCTCTTACTGAATCACTACCAATGCCGCCGCTAGCTTGAGCAAATCTCTCTTTGGCTTTCAAAGCACGTTGTCGCTCGTTTTTCAATCGCTCTTCATCTTTAAGCAAGGCAACTAACTGCTTTGCTTTTTCCCGTACATTCATTCCCTGGTCTTTGCCATCTTTATCAATGAACTGAAAATCTTTCAGCGTCTGAATCACAAAAATGTTTTCCCGGCACTGTTGAGCAACTCTTTCCGAGCCAGTCTTGATAATATAATCAAGTAAAACAAGTGCTTTGTAAACATGCCGCCAATTTTTTCCATGATCGTTTAGCCGTTTCCATATCATAGCCATGATCTCTGAAAATGCAACGACGTTATAAGTAGCATCTGCAATTTCTGACATCAATGAGCTTGATGGGCCCCATGGATCGTTCGATGTTGCCTCGCGTACTTTCACCTCGGAATTTGAATAATTATTGACAACATTCTTAATCTGTCTCCTCACAGACATAGCTGCTGTTAATACGACAAAAGAAGATTCCAAAAGAACAAAAAGTTCACTTTCTACCGGAGTGTAAGGCAATTCCGGTCCAAAACTTTAAAACCAAGATGGCGAACAACGCCTTCGCCTTTCGCATTTAGCTTGACCCCCAGCGAAGATTACAAACACAGAGCGCATGCTTGGCTGATGACTTCCTCTTCCGTGACGTCACACCGGAAAAGGAGTGAATAAAGGAATCGATTGCCAAACGGGCAAAAAAAATGAGTACTTGAATTCATTGTGAATTGGTGATACGCGCTTTGCACAGCGTCCGCCATTTTCGTCATTGATGCTACCACGCCCATGACGTTCATACACTCATGACATATTAAAACTGTCTGCCAGCCAGATGGTTCAGGAAGTCGATACTATTATCATCTCCGGTTGGCTGTGTCGCAACAGCAAATTGTACTTTAATATTAAAACAGTCAATTTTTTCAATTAAAAAAAGATCAATTTTATTTTGTCTTTGTAGTCAGTCCTTTTTCGTCTTCTTTAGAAAATCTTATATGAATCTTTAAAACTTGTAAACCATCATGTCCATCATCAATCATAGTTAGTAGTACTATGCATAAATTTAGTGATGTGATATAGAATAGTTTGGTTTATTTCAATATAGGTTATTAATATAATCAAAACTGAAAACTGAAAATTAAAACGAAAACGTTAGTATTGCACTTGTACGGTCAGTTTCCATTCGCAAATCGATAACTGCTCCTAACAACTGCTCCTATCAATCCCGTACCCAGAGCCGTCGTTCCTCTTGGTCAGCCCTCGAGATTGCTGCTCCTATTAGACTTCTTTGAGCATGCGCAACTGGTGTTCGAAGACGAGTTGTGCTGAGGAGCTCTGGGGACAAGAATGAGTTGTGGTATTTTGTTTACGTATTATGCATAGCAAACTATTTTCTCGTAAAGGCAATATCCAATATTACTCAATAACATTTTCGCTTTCTACCGGGGTAATTATAACACCAACAGTTATCAATGCATACTAAAGCAGGATTATTAACTACTTACCCAATGCGGAGAAACTTCAACTACAATAGCCTACTTCACTTAACCAAAATGTGCTCGGAAAATTAGATAACGGTGTGTGAAGCTCCTTAAGGTTTTTATTACTGACAATTAACAATTTGTCCAATCAAAAGAGCTGATGTCCAATTAGCGTGATTAAACAAATTAACCACAACCCTATCCCCTTCCCACATTTGATTTTTAATTCCGTGCGATAAGGCGATTGGACTGAATCACTCCTATAAGTCCGCAGCGAGAGCATCCAAGTCATTAAACACTGTAAGCACTCATTAAGCAGCTGGACGCACTTGCGGTGAAGTATTTCTTCTTCTTCTTCTTCTTCTTCGTTTCATGATATATAATTATTGTTGTGGACGAATTTCACAAGGCACCAAAAATGTAAGTATGCATCGCGCAGAACGTATTCGTATTGAAAAAAAAATGTAAATAATTGCATTTTAGTGAGAAAGAATATCTTGAAAATGAAAAGCGTTAATCCTTGCGCGATCTTCATTTGTATTCAATACATATATTCCTTTCCCACAATAGAATAGGTTCAATTTTTTGTGATTCTTGAAATAATTATTAGAAAAGCACCTGTTATGGGTAAGGACAATATCGCTCGTGTAGGAATGGACCTCGATAGATTCGTGAGAAATAATTCATGAGTTTGTCTTTTTTTATCCACGTATAGAAGCCAAACATTGCGTTAAAAACCTGTTTGGCTGATAGTTGTCTTAACATGATGTATGTGTTGTCAAGTGTAGTTTCGAGCTTTCAATTAAAAAAACTGACACAAAAATATCTCTTTTTATAACACTGCAAGCAATTAAGAAAATCGACTTAAAATGGCTTCTTTTTGAAGACAACTTACTCGCATTATAGACAATTGTTTTTAGCGGGATAACAGACTGCTAATAGTGCGCAAAGTTTTATACACATACGAGAGTTTAGCCTTAGGTTTGCATAAGATCACGGTAGCTTTGTTTATTCAGGGAAAATTCCTAAGTATTGAATTTCTAAGATTTCGATAACAGCTCTGGGCCTTTCCCCAGTTGGTAATGAATAATTCAGTGGAATTGTGTGAGGTGTCTTCAATCCTAATTGCTTTTATGGTAAACAATACGAGGAACAAAAGTTTTGAAACTGTTCACTGTTATTTTACCAAATTATTTTTTAAAAACAATCTATTAACATTGCGACAGAGTCTGCAAAGTTGAGGTTTATTATTCCAAGAACCATATATAAGAGGAAACCCTTCTTAGAAAGTTGTTTACAAAAAGCGTATCTACGCAGCTATTTGAAATTGAGGTCGATGTTCCACCATGTGGGATGCAGCTGATTCGCCACAAAACTAGAGAAAATTAATCCATGGCTGCCCCAGCTTGAGGTTGCTTCAGATGATTGCCATTCATTGTTCGTTATGCATATGCAAATCATAAACATTTTGTTCAAAAAAAAGAATTTGCTTGGTGTTGTATTTGTCTCTTGTTTAACTGTCGTGCGACTGTTCAAATTCAACTCGCTTAATTCCTTGACTGGAAGACACAGAGAAATCCTATTTTAGACTGATAATTACGATGTGTGTAAAGCATTTTAAAAAAATTTGACCATTGTATGTGGATCCATTATTATAAGTGCAGCTGCATTGGAGATCAGTGCAAAGCCAGTGCCATCGGTTTCTGTTGACTCCGTGAGATGTCAGACAAAACACCTGCGTCAATGCTCAATGTATAAACTAAGACGATATGACCACAGTTGACACTTTCTTCCGTTACAAGCAAACTGCAAGTACGCGATAAAGGTAAAATATTACATCTTGCGAGCTGCATCTTTAAAATCTTTGCGCTATAAACACTGTAGCTGTAATGTGAGCTGTTTTAGTTGTTTATGTGTAGTATTTTCACGCGCCACTAAAGCGTGTGTTTTGCAAATCGATATATTTTGATGAGATATGAAGGTTACCACGCTACGTATTGACGAAATTACTGCATGTTTCTTAGGCATTTTATTCTTCAAGCAATTGATTATAACTGATCATTTCATCAGTAAATATGTTGTTTCGGCGTCGTTTTTTTCTGTTTTGATCTTTTGCATTTACTGCGGCTGGATTCAAAACTTCTTGAGAGTACTTTAGTTCAGAAATTATAGTTAGTACTTCAGTTCAGTTTTGGGACAAAATTTTAGCTATCATAGTAACAACAACATTTACCTCCATTTTCTTATATTTTTTATCAGGCTTTTTTGTTAGAAGACTTTTTACAACAAGTTTCAGTGAACGGTAATTAGAATTCTATGGATCTTAAATACATATATACGTCTATCTCCTCAAAATTTTTGATAATTCAATAATAACATTGAAGCGAAGGAAAAATGATTTGTACTGCATTCAAAATATCATTTGACGAAGCAGGAACCTTTCCTATAATAATACAAGCTAGTCAAAATACAAAAACACTTCATATGATATGACTTTGGGTGCCTCGCCGCATGAGAACGTAGTTCAAAATGGCTTTTAAAAGGAAAGAAAACCTGATAAGAGCAGTTATACTACACTAGTTTCAATAAAATACATTACATTTGAGTAAAATACTGATCAAGCACAGCATGACGTCGTCGCGCCATTGACGTCGACGCATTGTGATTTCATTTWTAATGGAACATTGAACGCTCATCCATATCCATGTGATCTTATCCAACTTAAAAGAAAATCTAAATGTTTCTAAAATCATAAAAGTGTACAAGAGACCAAGGGCGAATCTAGGGGGTGATTTTGGTGGCTAGCCACCCTCGCACCCCCTATTTCAGCGTTTAAAACTGATGTAAAGAATACGAATTATTATATAAGTAAAACAGAAGAAATTAAATCTAAATGGAACTCATTTTGTAAAACAACTAAAGCAGCGTTCATAATAGAAGTTTCATTTTCCGCAGCGATCTAGATTTATCCATTTTGTCTTTCTTTCTTGGGCTGAGTAGCCACCCCCCTTAGCTCGTTATGAATTCGCCACTGAGAGACGTCACCATGTAAAATAAGGCAAAAAGTATATTATTCACGTTGGATACACTTGCCTGATCCGAGATGGTCACGTAATCAAGCATCAAACTTATCATTACTATTACGTTAATTCTTGGATTAACTTCTTCAAATTCAACCTTTTCTATATCATCAGTTTTTATCAGCTGTTTAGTTTACTGCAGTTCCGTCTTTGACTATGATATATCATCTATATCTTATATGATATATGATATATCATCTATATCTTTCTTCTGTACAGTTGTTCGCTTTTAATGATAAATTGTACTGATAATTTTCCTTCAGCAGTTCCGAACTAATTAATACATAGCCATCCCGCATAGCAACATATTAAATTCAAACCCGGGATCTCAAATAAGTTGAAGCTGCACGGAATTTTCATTAATTTTGCAATCTTGACTTGGAATATGATTATACTATAGCCCCCTTGTAGAGAAAATGTTGCAACACCGTCAACTTRTAGATAAAATGTTTTTTTTAAATGTGTCAATACTCTTATATTAAAAACTGTGGTTGGCTTTTACCTATTTGGGTTTCATGTTCGGCTAAGATAGATGAGACTCCACACTGTCGAAATACTATACGGCCATGACCTTGTCCAATCTTTGGCATTCGCCGCAATTTTCCTCATATGGAAAATGTGATGAAGACATACATTTTAAATGGAATATTTTAATTGTTTTTGTTTTTTTTTGTTTTGTTTTTGCTGAGCAAAGAGGTTTTAAGAATAAATAATTTTGTAAGTGGCAAAGTCGAATAAAAACAATGCCTACCAAACCTTCACCTTTATTTTTTCGAACGGCATTTTCGCGGACCAGATTTGATAAAGTGRAATGTTTTTATTAACTTTTTTAAGAGYAAAGAAGCTCAAAAATGARTTTTGTTTAARGTGGCACTAAACAAATACAAAACYCAATGGCTGCCAAATTTTCGGCTTCATAATTTTCCGCTGGYATTTGCCGATCGAATTGYACATGTCAAATTATTCCTGTCAAATGGAATGTTTTAATTAATTTTTTGTGAGCAAAGATTATTGGTTGATTTCCATTTTTAGTGCGCGTTTCGGTGATCCATCTTGGCAGAGGTACATATAGCCGTTTGTGTGCTTCTGATCGTGTTTGCTGTTGGTTCCTTAAAAATGACCGATCGAAAATTTAAAGGACAACAGCTTGGCTTTCAGCCCACTATATTGCGCTTGTTGAAACTGTATATAATATATAGAGGATATTTCATGGGCGCGCGGAGATACGGATATTATCTTCGAGTGTTGAACAGTGAAAATAACAACTTTACGAAATTGAGAAATATAGGTACATGTATCTGATAGATAATTATATGATCTTTTTAGACACTTTCTACGTTTTGAAAAGATCTCAAAAAATTTAAACTTCACGCAGCAGGTAACAGTGAAAGAACAAGCAGAGATAAAACTTGAACCTGACTTTATGAGGGGTTTGCCGCCTTGCATRCCACTWAGAAAATTCCGACAGCGCCTCGTTGGGCCTCTGACCGGTTTACATTATTTTTCTTTCCAGAATGAGATCCCATATTTTAAAATGGATTCCACTTCTGATGACGCTAAACTTGATAACACCGTGYCCTTGCTTCTCGTCTGGTGAAGATGATTTCAACAATACTGGTGAGGATATGTCCGGCAGTGGAGATGTATCCCAGTCCTTTCAGTGTCCGCAACAGAAGTCAGTTGTCTTTACTGTTATACAAAGGTTTGTTATTTTTTTCATTTACACAATTGGAAATAAGCTGTCAGTGGGCCGGTTAGTTCAAAGCTCGATTATTACGCTATAACCCTGTGTAAACTCTAAAAAAACTCAACTCGTCATATCAACAATAATGAGTAGTCTTTGAAACGGCCCGGCTCATGGATCAAAAACTGGATTGATTTAAATTAAAAACTGCACTGACAACTGAAAGGGGCAACTCGGAAGACGAGCAGCCCTTACTTTTCTGTTATTTCAGCGAGAGCGTTTTTCCATTTTCAATGATCACGTGATAATCACGTGATATCTCCGATTATTTATGACACTGGAGGAAACGCACTGCGCATGCGTATGTCTAAACAACAAAATGGCGGTTAATCGTGAAGAGTTCGTACAAACGAAAAAGGCAAATATGATTTCTTCTTATTTACTATAAAGCCGTCTTGTATATACTATAGTAGGGTATTGAAAATTAGAATAATATTCCACAAAAATAAGCAGATAAGGAAAAGCTTAACTTTTCAGTAATTTTCTTGACTTTTGCGATTTTTGCAACGACTCAAAACATCGAGCGTCAAAAACCCTAGGTTGCCCCTAGTTACCGTACGTCTTCCGAGTGTGCGCATTGCGATTCTCCCCAGTGTCTTAATTTGTTATTTTTCCATCTTTAGACATCCCTATGCTAGAAATGACACAGGAATAATGACTCTACCGGACTTGATTGACCTTGACATGATGGCATCGTCGCTGTTTGAGAAATGCACGTGTTTCTCCAACACAAGTGTTGAAATAAAAGTTGCGGAGAACAGAAGCCAATTGGAGAAGATTGTCACGGCAAATCAAACTGACTTTGGATTTCCAGTCTTCTCGCCAGTTGGTAAGTATGTTTGGTAAATTTAATTGTTTTCTTTTTCCTGTGTAATGCGTTTTTTCTACAGACGTTGTCGTCACCAGGACACAGTCCACAAGGGATCCACAGGCCTGCAAGGAGTCTCGGGGTTTTCATGCGTAAATTAATATATATCCAAAACTCGTTAGACATTTTCTTGAAAAATCAGTGTTACACATTTTCAAAGACCGAGAATTTTGAATAACTGAAAGGGAATACATAATTATATATGGCAATCCCGAGRTTCCTTGCAGGTTCAAGACTGAGTACTGTGTCCTGGCGACGACAACGTTTTTTGAAATAGCCTGTAAATATTTACCGGGTCAATATCATAGATTTAGCGTTCGCGTCTGATCATCAGGAACAAGCCAAAATCACTGCCATTTCAATTTGATTCGCACCAGCCAATCAAACAACAGCTTATTTATTATGTTGTAAAACCAATCACATGACCCATTTCACCACCATTTTTTGCCCAATCACAAAATAGATACTAAGACCATAGGCAGACTAGTTTGTATCCCGCGAGGCGCGCGATCGTGACGTAATACCACAGGTAACCCACAGCGCACGCCGATTCGATAACATAATATAAAAGAATAAAAGTGTGCGCATTCATTCTTTTCTTTCTCTCAAGCAATAGTTGGGTAGCCTATGCTAAGACCAGACAACAAAAATGTGTAATTCAAAAATAAAGTAATCTATTTTTCTATTTTTTTCCTTTAAAGGTTCTAAAAAWGTTTTCAAAAAGCCCTTCTTTGAGTTCACAAGTCATCCAGGCTTTGATCTGTTCATTGTCTATAAACAAGACGATCCTGTTCAAGTCTGTATCGACACACTTCTTTCTTCCTGGCCTATTCTGGCATTGTCGGTTACTTTTACTGGAATGGCTGGCATAGTTATTTGGATTTGTGTATGTTTGAGTCTCTCGAGCATTCATTTAATATGTAATTCATTCATGGCAAAGTAATATTAGATACAAAATATCTGTTTCTCTTTACCCTTTCGCATAATGACGGCACAAGAAAGCATGCTCTTCTAATGCTAAAGATAATGGCGTTGCAKTATTAAAACATGCTTCGGCATTCGTCACTATGCGATATAGCAATCAATCGATCAATTTTCAGCTATTAATCATGACGATTTCCATTCAGGAAACTATGCACAACCGAGAGGAGTTCCCAATGTCCTTCACGAGAGGGTCATGGGAAGGTTTCTGGTGGGCGTTTATCTCCATGACAACGGTTGGGTAAGTAAAGTAACTGTTATATCAAAGAGTGCAGTCTCCTATCACACCCATGCAATGTTCACCATTCCAGTCTTTCGTATCCAGTATAAACCATGTAATATAATATAAACATCGCGTTTCAAGGTACGGAGACAAGTGCCCGCGGTCCATCGTTGGAAGGTGCTTTTCTGTCGTTTGGATAATCGGTGGTTTGGTTCTTGTATCTGTTTTCATGGCGAACGTGACTACAGCGTTAACATCAGCAAATAAACCGTTGATCATCCAACAGATAAATGAAATGGACAAGGTTAGTTAAAAAACCCTCATTGTTCACTAGTCAGACACCAGTCATTCTGTAGGAGTTAAGGTGTTTCGATCGTAATAAATAGCGTTTCGCGCGTATTTTTAAACTCCAACTACGTCGCAAATTTCGATTCAATTGCACTCAAACTTTCACAGAAGTCACAGTGATTATCGATAATTCTTGTTGATAAATTAATTTGCCAAAAGCGAAGCCATTTGGATATGACGGCATTAAATGCCACACAAATACTGCTGAACAGAGAAAATTAATAAAATCTSGCCAAACCGCCAGGAAGAAAGGCTAGGAATTCCAAAATATCAAAGCCTGACTAAGAGAGAAAGTGCCTTGCCTTTTCTGGAATCGACCCCAATCCCATCCAGACTAATTTACCTTAGCCGAGTAGGACGGATTGAAGGCGATTTGCGACTAATTGAGTCATATTATTATTTACCGTAACACTGGCTACTTCTCTACTGTAGGTTGGAGTTTTAGAGAACAGCATCGACGAAACTTTCGCTAAGGATAAAGGAGCTCAGACAAAGGGTAAGCTTTGCCCGGAGGGGAGGGGAGGGGGGGATTTTTGCCTAGCAATTAGCTCACTAAGACGCAATGTCGTTTTTGTTTTTCGCTAAACGAATCTTTCAAACCTGTTTGGATGATATTTGTTCTTGTCAAAACGCTCGAAAAATAGCTATTTCTGCTTGCAAACATAAAAGTGCACTACACTTAAGGACACTTAAAAGGGGGAAAGCGGAATGGAGAGTGTGTATCATCAGCTACGGAGGCTACGGCAGCAACTACGCCCTCATTAGATTCCTTTCTTTACCCATCCAAAAGGACAGTGGTACGTTTAGTTTTCGCCCTCAGGTAGTTTTGGTCACGTGGTTGCACACACCAAATTAGCTCATGCTTCCAAAATTAAATAAAAATAGGACAAATCTTCAACATACATTTAAACTAAATTCTAGTCTTAATTYTAAGGTTTTACAAGTTTTGAAGATATGATCCAAGCACTGGTGAACAAGGATGTAGATGGGATTCTACTCGATCGCTTTGTCATGGGTTATCACATGACAAACCGGACTAACGAATGGCATTTAACGCGAATTAAACAATTCCCTGGTAGCACGTATCGTATTGGTGCTGTATCAACCAATCCACATGCCCAAAAAATACTCGAAACTTGCGGTCAACGTATTGACCATGACGGCTACAGTTATTTTGATAAATCGGAGATAAATCACTCCATGGCTAATTATGGAAACAAGTTTGTCAAAAAGGTATCTTATCAAGCAACTATAAATAAACTATTCCTGAAATCAAAGTAATGCGCTATATTAAACACCTAACCAACGGTTAAGGTTCCAAAATGCTACATAAAGACCGAAAGCTCGAAAGGTAGCATGGGAAAGCAATGATTATGACTGGAGTGTTTCAGTGMCAAAAGATTGCCTTCTCTCCGYGTAATGCCATAGTGTAACATGTTTTAGCAATCTYTGAGTAGTTAATACCCCCTTCGGTGTATGCTACGATCCGACAACGTTAATTAGGCAATGTGCAGCAAGGCCATTTTGTCAGTAGCAAAGCATGATGGTAATTGTAGTCCCCGTACTTTTTTATGTCCGCTACAACAGTCCTCCTTAACATTTTTTGCTTKTTGTAAGCAAACATAGAAGCACTTTTACCGTTTCTACTAAGAAATGTAAAAGCGAAGTACGAGGACTACAACCATCATGCTTTGCTGCACAAAATGGTGCGCTGCACATTGCCTATATTAAGTGTATATATACATACACTGAAGAAGTGCGAATACCCGAAACGTTCATTAAAGAGTGGAAACCAAGT